AGGAAGGGAGAGGGCTAGAGAGTTAGAAACATCAATGAGAGAGAAACATCAATCAGCTGCCTCCTGCACAACCCCCACTGGGGATGTGCCCGCAACCAAGGCACATGCCCTTAGCCAGAATCAAACCCGGGACCCTTGAGTCCGCAGGCCAACGCTCTATCCACTGAGCCAAACCGGTTCTGGCTGAATGTGGAACTTTTGATGGTGTCAGCTGACTGCACTGAAGCATCAGTATCTTCAGTTCCTTCATATCGGTCCTATTGCTGCTGTGGTTTGGAATGTGGCCATGAAACAGTCCTTTTTGTTTAAGCCAGGTGTCCTTGGGTTTGTATCACTTCAAACTGAAAAGCCATGGTTATTATATAGTAAATTCTCAAATGTATTTAAGTATAATTTTTATTCTCCCCTCTGTTCCCACTGACCTACTGTTTCTTCTTCTCCAGAGCTGAACTGTTTTAATTTCTTTACATCTTAAAATCTTTTAGGGCTAATTCCCCATCCATTATACACGACAGCCTTTTAGTTAAATTGACCTACAGAAACACTGATCAGGGGCCATGGAGATTGTCCTGGACTATAGATACAGGTATTCTAGTTTCTGTAAAGGTACCTCCTCATCAACCTTGCCATCTCTAATCTTAAATTAATAAATTGAATTGGGATTTTTAGTCTCTTATAAATGGGTTAGCAAGAATCAGGGATCACTTATAGCCTTACTTACTTGGGCAACCCTGGTAATTCAGAGTTTCTAGATTTAAAACAGAAGTATGAACAATGCTAAAGTCTTTTTAGCTGGAACAAATGGACTATGTGCAGTGAAGCCCATAAGACATTAGGATACCATATTTTGATTCATATGAAGGAGCAGGGTATAAATGAGATGTAATATTGGGGGTAAAATCCAGGGCAGGTGAAAAGAACACTTAGAAGGGATAAAGTAGGCAAATTCTACCAAGACAATCTATACAAATAAAAGGGTAATATGCTAATTAGACCGGGCATCTTCTGGACAACCTTCCAGATGTCCTTCTGGACAAAGCCACGGTGGCGGGGCCAAGGCAGAGGCAGTTAGGGGCGATCAGGCCATCAGGGGAGCAGTTAGGGGCATCGGGCAGGCAGACAGAGTGGTTAGGGGCAATCAGGTAGGTGAGCGGTTAGGAGCCAGCAGTCCCGGATTGCAAGAGGGATGACCGACTGCCAGTTTTGGACAACCCCCAAGGGGTCCCGAATTGGAGAGGGTGCAGGCCAGGCTGAGGGGCCCTCCCCCATGCATGAATTTTGTGCTCTGGGCCTCTAGTATTGTATAATGGTTAAATGCACAGACTTTAGATTGGGACTGTCTGGGTCTGAATCCCTGCCCTATAACTAACTAGTACATGTCCCTGAGGCAGTTACTTTACTCTATGTCTCAGTTTACTTTAAATGGGAATAATAATAGTATCTGTCTTATAGTGTTGTTGTAAGGATTAAATTAGTTACATAAAGCACTTATAACAGTGCCTGGCACACAGAAATTACTAGGTACATAACTGCTACATTATAATGGTCTAAAATGTTAAGCAAAAAGAACTTAGGCTGGGAATCTATTTGCAAAGTTTCCAATGGATCTCTCAGACAGGTAAGAGTTTAACTAAGCCAGTTCAGTATTAATACATGTTGCTAGTTATTACCCTCCCCCCCCCTTTAGATAACCAGCCATCTACATTTGAGCTATAAATCTGAAAAGGGAAAAGGGAGAGGCAATACTAAAGGTGTGTTTGAAGAGAATCTTTAAATTGCTCACTTGGGTGGTATTAATTTTTCACAGAAGTTCCTACTTTCTCCAGTGAATTTCGGTAGGTGCTGGGTGCCATACAAAGATAATAAAAAAAAGCCTCAGCTTTCTAGCATATTTGAAACTAATGGCATTAAAACAAGACATGGGTGAGTTTTTGCTGAGGGTCACACTGAGCTGTGAGCTGCCTAAAGGTGTTTTTTAGGAGTCAGCAATGTGGCAGAAGACATCAAGACAAAGATCAAGAATTCTGACTGCTCTCTGTGACAGCTGCTTCCCTCCCTAACCAGAAGCAGGCCGGGAACTATCGGCAGAACTACTTGAACTACTTGAACAGCAGAACTACTTGAACTTGCGCCACTGTGAGAAGGCAATGACCGTTAAAGGGAGTGAGGTCTCTGTTTGCGAATGGTCCACATCCTGGGTGGAAGCTCCGTTTGTTTACATTTCTGTATCCTTGTGTTTGTTGCCAATCTGAGTAAGTCACAAGGCTCTGTGTTGTCTATTTTATTTTATAACTTTCATCCCAACTATTAAAATCAAAGAAACTCTTAGAAAAACAAACAAAAAATGAGCAGAAGGCACATTTCCTGGGAAGATCTGAACTGGCCCCCACCCTGATACTCCTCTGTCCTCACCCTTCTCCCAGGATAGTGAAGGGGAACCTGGGTACATCCCACCCTGGGATCCTGAATCATAGGTTAGCTAATAATAAATACGTGTTGAAAAAGTGTTAAAAAAAATACATGGGCATTAATGAGAGATTCACAATACTTATAGGAAGGGAAGAGCCCATGTATGTGGTGGGGATGAGAATAAACTTGAACAATTTTATAGAGAAGACAGTATTTGAGCATTTTTAGTTTATACTTGAAGTATACAGTGCATTTTAAAGATAATTTTCTGCACTAGCCGGCTTGGCTCAGTGGATAAAGCATCAGCCTGAGGACTTAAGGGTCCCAGGTTCGATTCCGGCCAAGGGCACATGCCTGGGTTGCGGGCTCGATCCCCAGTAGGGGGTGTGCAGGAGGCAGCCAATCAATGATTCTCTCTCATCATTGATGTATCTCTCTCTCTCTCTCCCTCTCCCTTCCTCTCTGAAATCAATAAAGAAATATATACATATTTTTAAAAAAGATAATTTTCTATGCACTGGAAATGGAATAAAACAGGAAATGAAGGGTTTGGAAATCGCAGGGAAAATTATGGTATTTCAAATAGTCCAGTATGATGAAAGAAATGGATAAGAGAATGATGAAAGATCTGGCTACAAAGGTAGGCTGCAGCAATGTTGAGGAAGTTGATTTCATTTCTGAGCACAAAAATAATGTGTAAGTATTGAATAAGATGGGTTATTACTAGAAAGGTTATTGTAATTATGGGTGAGAGATATATCCAAACATCATCCAAACATCATCCAGTTCTGAATGTATACTTAAAATGTATCTTTTCATGTATAAATAATAAGGAATCTTTAATAAAACATATATACAAGAAATAATTAAAAAAAAGATAAGTCATTCATATTTGATAATGCTCATCAGACACACTTCATGCCTTTTCAACAGGAGGGAAATCAGCAGGGAATCTCAATAGCTCTTCTACTTCTTCTTGCAAAGCCTCTGCTTTTTCATGCAACAGCATCTACAATAATAACATCAGGACATGAGACCAAAATATTCAATGCTAGAGAAATGCTACCATTTTTACCACCTGAATCCTTATACATCAGCAATCTAGACATTAAAACTAATATGAGATGGAAAAATGGCCACTTAAGAAAAAGTGATTATAGTAAGTGAAGCTGAAGCATTTAGTTGAAGCCATTTTAGCTGATTGCTCCATTTGGTATACCAAAAATAAAGGAGCTCTAAAACATGATTTGTTTTATTGGAGACTCAGCCACTTAAAAATTAACTTTTAATCTATAAAATCTAAGACAATTTTATAAAAATTTAATTAGCTCTTGAAAATGTTATCCTTCATATATGCATTTTATTACTCCTCAAAATTAAGTATACTATCTTTTAAAAACCTATAACTTTTTCAAAGAAAAATTTTATTCAAGTTCCTAAAATTAATAGTTAACCCCTTGAGTGCTGGGGAGCGCGATTGCGTTCCTCCTGTCTTTCGCCAAAAGTTCTGGGAGCGCTATCAAAGCTTCGAAATGGCGTCTAGTTCTAAGTCTGCTTTTATTAGTGATGATGATATTGCTAAATATGTCAGTGTAGTAAAGGTTTCCTTAAGTTTTTGAATATGTAACTTCATTTACTTCTGATTCATAATTTTTTTCCTAAACTGCTGTAAAATCAGCAAAAATGCCCTGGCAATTTTAGCATAGTTCCTAGGATATTGGTTGGCACTCAAAGGGTTAATTTTGAAAGAACCATAATGAGAAAAGAAAGTATTTCTAAACATGGAGCATAGTAGACATAAATGAATATTTAACAAGTAATGACTCTCTTTCTTTTAGAAACCAGAAGTAAAATGTTGGTATTTGTTTTAGCTGGCTTTTGTGTATATTGTAGTGAAGTATTTGTACTACTTCTGTTACAAAGTATTATAATAAAAAGTTTAGCAAAATCACAGAGGGGGGAAAAAGTCATATGATGCAAAGTGAAAGTGAAAAACCCACTCCCTACCAATTTGACATACCCATAGCATTACATAGCATTATATATATATAAAAAAGACTAAAACGTAATTAGGTAAGCTTTCCAGCAGCTGAGATAAGGGTGACCATGTGAAATGAATCTCCCAACACATCCTCTAAAAACTATACAGATCAACAAGTAAACCGCACAAAACTCTTGTGTCAGCATTACTAGAATACAGAGAACACCGTCAGCTTCAAATTACCTATGGTTAAAAAAATCCACCAGTTATAATAAAAACAAAATGGCATAATCCTAACTAGTTTCCTCATTTCCATCCTTGCTCTCCTATTTGCAACATCTGACCTATTCCTCGGCTCAAAATCCTGCAAGGAATATCTATTTTTCTCTTTCAAACTGTCTGGAAAGTGAAAGAAGTGGCGGGAACCAGAGCATGTATCTTAGTCCATAAGGTGGAAGCCATGTGTTGAGAATGAGACAGAAGTAGGATCCCTGGATACAACACTGATTCCCATAAGAGCTATAAATTGCTTGTGCTTGAATTTGTCTAATAAACTTTTAAAGTTTAAAGTAACTTCTTTTGGCCATTGTTACTACAGCTCCATTTGTATCCCTAATGATATACAGTCTAACTCCACAGTCGTGGCTCTGCTACTTACTTAGCTATACTTCCTTAGGTAAATAACTTAATTTCTTCAAATCTCATTTATTTATTCAAATACATATTAAACGCCTACTCTAGGTTGAGTACTGTGCTAGCTGCCATTGCAATGGAAATGACTATAACTCCATCCCTGCCAATCCCAAGAACTTCTAATCGAATGGAACAAGGTCAGTTTTAGTGCCGTCAAATTGAAGGTGACACCATCTCTGTACACCCTCAGGACTATTGTAAAGAAGGTAATATAAACAGTGTGAGCACCATTAACAAAAGGAAGATGGAAATGAACCTTTAGCTCATTCTGATCTGTATATGACCATACTGTAACAATGACGTTTTCTTAAAAAGCCAAGCAATTTCAGGCTACAAGAATGGAACTACAGTTAAAATCAGGAGGGGAAAAGCCCAAATTGCTATGGAATGGCTTTACCCACATTGAACTGGAGGGTAATGATACATATGATTGCATCAGGCAAAGGGCAACTAGGACAATAGATTATTTAATGCAAATGAAAGAAACAGAAAAGAGAAACCCTTGTTAGCAGTGAGAACTATTTTTCAATATGTGAAACACTAATAAAGGAATAGAATAGTTCCAGATGGTAGTATTACAATGCAACGCTCAACATTTTAAGAAGACAAAATTGAGTCTCATTATAATGGGATGCTTTTTGTTATACTAAGTGACCAAAAATAGAACTATGTGAATTTTGAGGTTGTAAGCGCTTGTCAATGAAGGTATTCAAAGGTGGGAGGACCAGATGTTGAGAGTGCTGAGGAAAGGACTTCTGCGAAAAGGTTGTAAGGAGGCCAAATTCAATGAGTTCTAGGCTTCCTTGTACTTCAGTGAACTCTTGAAACTGTTTTTAGAAGGTCATTTTTCTCTTTATAGCAAGTCTTGTATCATAACAAATGCACTATTTTTACCCACATATTATGAACTTATACTTTTGTGTCTATTGCTAAATGTGTTTTTTTTTTTTTCATGTCTCAGATATAAGGAGATAACACCACAAAACATTGTAAAGGTTAAAAAATGGTTTGCTTACCTTTGCTGATGAAACAATTTGCTTGGCCTGGCGTCTTGATAAATGATCAATTGTTTTTATTAGCACTTCAGGATTTGCATTAGCTAAGTGTGCTAGACTTTTATAACCTGCATTGTATAACTGTTTTGCCCGACCCTGAAAAATATTACACAAATCAGTAGGCTCAGAATTTGGGATTTAGAAAAAAATAATTGAATGTCTTGTTGAAAGGAAAAATTTCACATATATATATATATATATATCCTATCTAATAAAAGGGTAATATGCAAATTGACTATCACTCCAACAGACAGTTAAGGGTGACCAGGCTGGCAGGGGAGGATAGTTAGGGACAATCAAGCTGGCAGGGGAGCAGTTAGGCATTGATAAAGCTGGCAGGAGAGTAATTAGGGGGTGATCAGGCTGGCAGGCAGAAGTGGTTAGGGGCAATCAGGCAGGCAGGCAGGCGAGCGGTTGGGAGCCAGCAGACCGGGATTGGGCCTAAACGGGCAGTCGGACATCCCTCGAGGGGTCCCAGATTGGGGAGGGTGTAGGCTGGGCTGAGGGACACACACCC